GATTACTGACGAAAAGTTAAGAGTCCGGCGGATGCTGTAGTTGAGATAAATACAAGGGGAAAAAATGACTATTTATGGTTGTTAAGATAGATGGAGATATGATGATAACTAAGACATGATGAAAGAGAGAGCGGTCAGGGAGTGTTTCACAGTGGGGCCACAGATTCCAGCTAAAGTTCTTTCGACAGGTATCAAAGGTAAAAACCAAAGTCGAGTATCACAAGAGCCGATGCAAGCCCTGGCTGATCATGTCCACTTTATAGGCTGGGAGCCCTGCCACACCGCTGAAGGTGCACATAATCATCATGCTGTATATACCATACATAGATTATGGCCGCGCCAGAAACGGAGCTGACATGTCCGGTTGGCCTTTCTAGACAATTGTTCAACGCATTTAGTAATTTAGTCCAAAAAAGAAGGAATGTATCTAACATCAGTCACCGATCTCATCACCGCCTTTCATGCGGTGAGGCGCATCCCAACCGAAACCCGTGACGGAGCAGGCGGCCAGTGACAGACCGCCCGTAGAAAAGTCGTGGTTTTGCCGCTGCTTGCTCCAGATTTCCCCTTCATCCCACTCCCTCTGCTGCGCTGCCTCATTCTACTCTCGATCATTGCCTGCATTTCTGGCACTATTACTCCCCTGGATCCTTTAGTTACCCTTAGCCCATCCACTCCCATCTTTCTAAACCTGGTGCGGCACCTTCCGAACGGCGTGGTGGGTTCTGCCGGTCGGTGTTGTGGCCAAGCTGCTATTTTGCCATCCGTTTCTCTCTCACCCCTCGTCTTCTCGAGACCCTGTGTGCGTCACTGTCTCACGGCTCCAGCGTGCGCGCTGTGCCTCTCTGACCCGGTAGATCTGTCGCTTACAATATCTTTACAGTGCTCTTTAACGCGCAGTTCCTTGCTCGAGTCATCCCCGATTTTATTGTGTTAGTCCCGGTCCCTCCTTGCCGAGTGCCCGCCCGGCCACACACTTTCCCTCTCAATGGGTCGCAAACCGAACCAACTCATCCTCGAGTTCTTTATTCGAGGCCAGAAACTCGAGGACGCCAGTAATCGCTACCAGCACACGTGCAAGGCCTGCGGAGAGAAATTTCCCAAGGGTCGCATCGACAGCTTGACCAACCATCTCGTGAAGAAGTGTCAAGCCATCCCGTTGCGCGATCGGCAACGCGTCTTGTTGCGACTTCACGAACTTCCCGATCTCGCCGATGGCGATCAGAACAAGGATGTGACGAGTAAGGGCAAATCGGTGGATCTGCCCTTCACTACACGCCAGAATTTCGATGGCCTTAATGTTTTGGCCGAGGCGTCGCGCCAGGTTGGTGCGTCCGACCAGACGAAACGGGGCCCTGCATACACTCAGTCGGTGACAGTCGGGGGAAAGACAGTGGTCGTCGACCCGGCCCTCGAGGCTGAAGGCTTTCAAGGTCATCCTACACAGCCGGACCAGGTTGAAGAAGATGCGAACAACGCTCCAGGTAAGTCGGTGTTGTGACCTACCTTCACTCAAGCTTCATTCACTCATCCCGCTTCCTTTGTCTATTTGCGACGCGCTAACGCTTATAATCTCTCAAGGCACTCCTCAAGGTTCCAACGCCTCTTCTGTACCTTCCCTGCCTAGTTCCTCTCAAGATCAGCCGCAAGCCGCAGCCGCATCCCCCCCGTTGCCAGACGTTTCGTTGACTCCGGACCCCACCTCCAATGCGCGCCAGTCGCAACTGTCCATGATTGCTGCTTCCGCTAGTGAGATGGTGCCCCACGGTCTCCCAATGGATCACGATGCTGGTCTTACCGACGGTATGCCTAAGATGAGTCCCTCGTGGAACCAGCAGCTGTCCACTCAGGAGCAGCTTCTCTTCGACAGCCTTCACGAACATGATCCCACTCTCACTGCAGCCACACAGCGCGCTGCTTCCTTCCCCCGTCCTATTGCTATGAACCCCAACTCTCAGGCCAAGGGCTTCGTGAACGAATTTGGCAACTCTACCAAGCCTACCAAGCCGAAAGTGCGCGGTCGCTTCTCCGCCGCCCGACGCCGAGAGGTTCAGGAAGTTCGCAAGCGGGGCGCATGTATTCGTTGTCGCATGCTGAAGAAACCTGTAGGTTGGATGCCCTCTCATTTCGAAATATGTCTCTAACAAGTCCTGCCTCCAGTGCTCCGGTGACAGCCCGTGTACCACCTGCGCCAGCGTCGAGAGCGCCCGCTTGTGGAAGCACCCGTGCATTCGCACGCGCATTGCCGAAGAATTCGAGCTGTACAATGCAAGTATGTAACTTGGCCTTCGTGGTGGTTGTCACACGCACTAACCACCGCAGATTTGCACGCTACCCTTGCCTACCACGATGTGAGCGGTATCCGCAATCAAATCAAATTCGAACACTACGCTGGACGTATTGAGGTTACCCATTTTGAGGAGAGCATGGTCTACGTTACCTTTAGCGGACTCCAGGGCCACAAGGCACCCGCATCGACGCTTGACCCTCAGCTCCAGGCTCTCGGAGATGAAACACAATTCCAGGGCCCTCTACACGAGCTGTATCTGCTGGACAGTGATGCAGATGATCTTCCTGGAAAGATCGAGATGTACATCAAGAAGACTGCGCCGTTCTTCTACGAGCGGGAGGCTTCAGACTTCATGAGACCAACTTTGTTGCTTGCTGCGGAGCTAAGCCAGCAGAAAAAGGTATGTTCCTTAGTTGAATCACCGGAAAGCCAGCAGTGTTGGTTGACTTGTTCAGGACGTGTTGCTCGAACGGGTGCTGGAACTCTGGATTGCCACTCACATTCTGGCCGACGGGGAATTGCAGTGGAAGACATTCTGCAACCCAACTCTTCCTCCCACATCGATGCACTCTCTTGCACAGCCATCAGACGACGGCCGCACGCCCATTGACAGTGTCACCAACAGCGAGTCGTACGAGCTCCTATGCAGCCAGCTGCGGGCCGCAACCGAGAAACGCGCGTCGCAGCTGAGCAAGTCGGTTATGAATGATCTCGAGCGGCGACTGCTTCAGCGCCAGCAAAGTGGCTGGTTCGAGACCTTCCTGGTTGCGCTCATTTTGTTGAACTGCGTGGAGCGGACGTGCTGGCTATTCCGGTCCTGGGACGACGAGAACTTTGCTCAGCGGGTAAGCTCACCGCCATACTTCAAAGCGGTCTGTCTGCATACTAACTCGTTTCGCAGTGGCCTTTGGACAAGCGCCCACCATACTACGCCAATCAAGGCGATCGCTTCTCCGACATCCTGCACATGTTGTTGAAGATGCGTAGCCTTCCGCCCAAGGCTACTCCTCGACCAGATACCGGCATCCTAAAAGCCGTGGATGGTAGTGACGAGAATGCAGCTCGCTGGTTTGACATGATCAAAGTGACTCGTACGTACCCTATTAGGCCTCGAACCTCAGTTGAATCACTGCTAATCACAAACAGCTCTCTTCCTTGAACAACGTCAAGCCACCGTTTTTGACCCTACTGACTCCCGCTCGCTCGACCTCCGCTACGGAGCCAAGCTCCTCCCCCCAACGAACGTCTACACCTAATCCTGCCTTGCTGCGTCTTCTAGGCTCTTCTAGCACTGGTTGACGAAACAGAAAGAAAGCACAAAAAAACAAAGTAAACGACTTTGATGACAACAACAACAACAACAACAACAACAACAACAACAACAACATTAACAACAACAAACCGCGAATTAAGCAGGCTTCTCTTTTCTTTGCCTCTGCACTATCACAATCTATGATTGACCTGTTGGTTCCCGTATATGGTGTAGATGGATGGGCGTGAGTGTAGGCGTGGACATGGGCATAGGCATGCGAGGAAGCAAAAAGGAACGGAAGGAAGGACGGACGGACGGAGAATGAATGCAGCGATTATGTGTGCGTGTTTCTTTCTTTTCCAAAATCTAAACCCCCTGTAGTAATGTAACCGAACGAAATCCATACCTGTGTTTGATTCACGCCTGAGGCATATACCATTATCTCCTATCACCTCCCCTCTTAGATATCTGCAAATTGGTTCATTCCGAGAAATTATGTCCACATAGGTTCCAAGTAACAACGTAGCCAGCTAATTATCTTTACTACTACTATTCCAAACCTACTTCATAAATTCTAGAATTATAACCCTGTAGTCAATTCATTCATTCACCCATATCTTTCTCTCAAGAAAATAACATTCTACATACATAGTTATCTCCCATATACTGTGAGTAGTAGTACCTAGTACCTAGTACCTAGTAGTACCCTCCGAGTTGGGACGAATTCGTATAGCATGGCAAGCAGGTTACTAGTAATGATTACTAAATTTCAACCAGCACCTAACTAGTTAGTTGAACTCTATTCTGCTTATTCATGTCCTACAACTCACTGAGGCTCTTTTTTTATTAATATAGTATACAGCACACTAAAATCCTCTTCTACATAATCTGTGCAGTGACCGTGTAGTAGGTTGATATCATGTTTGCTGCTTACAATTACTACTAGTCTACTAGTAGGTACTACATCATGTCGTTTGGCTGCTACTATTCGTTGGATTTGGGGGTTGAGGGTGGTAATATATTATTAATGCTACTAGTACTAGGTCTACACGCATTTGTATACTCGATGAGAAGGAAAAGATGGGTTGTCTAGCCCCTTCTGGTTATGTTCATTCTTCCCTGGTTTATAGTACTGCTTTCTTCTTTTCTTTCTTCGTTCGTTGGGGTAGAGGTGCCGTCGTCTACTGATACCATATAACCAAATTGCTCTACAGTTGCAGACAAATATAACATAACATATCGTTGTGGCTGACCACTCGTCATTCAATTGTCAATATAGGAATAACAAGGCATATCAAAGCTAACACAAGTTAGACAACGCCTTCTAGCTAACTTATCAAAGTCCCAGGACGTCACTATCAAAATAAAGAAAACGGGAGAGAGTAAGATTCAATGAGAGGTGTCAAAAAAAAAAATTGAGCCCCAGCAAAACACCTTTCTAAATCCAGCGCAGCAATATCAAAGAGGAGTCCAGTTTACTTCTAGCGGTGTATCCGGTACTTTATAAGGGTCATTGGGGTCTAAAGGGGGCATGTAGAGTGGCCCATCACGGGGGGGCCAATGCAAACCAAACTCGGTCCAATAAGGCTTATCACGCGGAATAGACAGGCCATCAGTTGCTAGAGGCTGAGGGAGAGGCTTGCGAGTCGTTGATGGGGTAGAACGATTGCTGTTGGATTGTGCGTCTGGTCTGCTTGGATTCTCCGTATCAGGGTTGACCGGGACAAGTTTTGGGATAGGCGCCTTGTTGATATCGAACTCAATATAACCGGAACGGCCCACCGCCCCCCATTTTAGGCCTGAACGACTAATTTGCGAGATCAGATCGGTCGCAGCCTGATGAGGGTCCTGGCGTGGTGGTACTTTGTCTGTCGAAACTGGATGATGGCATCTGTGGCCATTATTTATAGGTTCGCTATTCCTATCGGAGTCGTAGTCGGTAGCAACATCGGGGTTTTTGGACGAACTCCCAGTACTGGGGGCTGGCTTTTTGGCTTTTGAACGGCCGTTAGAGTCACTAACGGTAAATTCGTCTCGTTTGGGATCATCGCTCTTGTTGACGTCGACAGGGCTGAAAGCTCTGGTGGTGGCGGTGCTTTGAGAGGGAGTCAAGATGCCACCATCGCTAGAAGTACTGGGGTTGGTGGTGATCTGAGAGGGAGCCACGATTTCACTACCGGCACAATCTTTATCCTCACCGTCCGAGAGACTGTAGGATGGCGGATAACGTGTTGTGGGCGTTTCATCGTCCGAACCTACGGAATCGCCATCCTCGAGAGTCGCTGAGTTAGATGCGGGTGATATAGCCGGAAATCGTCCTCCATCAAGGCGTTCCTCAAGCAACACGTAGTAGGTTTCAGCAATCTTATAGCTAGCAAGGTAGTTGCTGTGGCTGGTCAGCAAGGGTCTCACTCCACGCTACTGTTTCATAGGCGAAGCACAACTTACTAATTTGTGGGCATCAACTTCGCTTCCATGGCACTAGTGACCATCATCAGCAGCTCTGTCTCATAAACTAATTCTTTATCTGTCAGATCGAGCAGAGGACAGCCATCTGCTATCGGGAGACCCGTAGCGTCCGACAGCCAATATCGGTCATTGTCTTTCTCGAAAAGAAATAATAGCTTGGGCGCCTAGTGCGTGTCAGGATTTACGTGGCTGGAATTGCTGGAAAGGATATCAGACCATTGGATTCTGGAGGAGTACGACGTAACGATAAAATGAAGGAGCTAAGAGGAGATTAGAATCTTGGCACAACCGTATCATTCATGTGAGGCTGAATGCAAGGTTAATGAGCAGACTTACTGTAGTATGCGAGGCACTTCACGAACACTCTTGGCTTTTTCCTTATTAGCTGTTTCCGTCCTGTAGCGTTAGGAACCACAGAAGGCCCGGCAGTGCAGGTAGAGAGTAAAGGTAGAGTCTTCAGCGTATCTCAAATGAAAATGAATAAAAGAGAAATTTGACCATTAGTACAGCCACAGTTAATACAAAAAGAATGGGAATCAAAAAGCAACACAAGTCCACCCACATCTATGAGAAGAGAGTAAAAGGAACATGAAAATGGGAAGGAGTGAGCGACTAAATAGGGAGCGGACAGGCAAAAGGCATCACATCATCATGATCATACAACATGAAAAAGCATATCATCGATCATACATCATCATCACACATTAGGCAACCGTGACCTCCTGAACCTGCTCTAGCACCACAGCATAATACTTCCCTTCTACAGAAGTATCGTGGTACGGCCCAGCACCTACCAACGCCCTACATCAAGCTGAACATTAGCATTTTCCTTAGATACCCTCAGATAGAAAACAAAACATATACAAAAGAGCCACCACTCACCAGCCCTTGTACTTCGGCTGATTGAAAATATCCGTGAACGCTTTCAGGATCCGCAACGGCAGCTCCAACATGGAAGGCATTTCCGGGCCATCACCGCAAATCGGTAGCCCCAGTTTATTGACAGGTAGATACACAATCTCGGATGGACTTTGCGGATTACGCGCCTCCTGAAAGATCAGAAGGCGCCTCGACGGGTGTGGCATCGTCACTATATTTTCTGGCTGGTTCTCGGATCTATTATCCGCGAAGATGGACCAGTATCCCCGGTTGGCGTGCGCTTGCTAAGTTGGTTTTCCAAAAATGGCGTCGCGACTATACACCGACTATGCTCTCCACTTTGCTGAGAACAAGTATGAATTTTGCTAGTGGATGAGCCGAATTGAGCACCCGTTCTGTGCCAAGGGTAAGCCTATATTTAGGAGGCATCATGCAGGTTGAACGCACCAAATCGGGCCAAGATTATTGCGAGGTTGAAAATGAAGCCCCACTGAGGGTTTGAGAATTGAGAGGTCCGAGAGCACGATGCAGCGAATGCCCTGAAAGGAAAAGGTAAGAATGATAGTACCGAATAGATACTGCGTGGATGCAGCGGACTTTCGCGCGGCGCGTCGCATCGCCAAACACGTGCGCGGGGGCGGGGACTGCCTTATCGGGAAGCCCCTTATCGTGATCTCCACTTTCCTGATTCGGAAAGGAAGTTTCGCTATAGTGACTCGCCCAGTCTTTATGCTTATAGCACCAACTGGCGACTTTACTTCTTAATATAATAGAAAGATAGTATATATAATATATGTGAATCCAATAAGTGTATGCATGCAATGGCTAAATCGAATGTCAGGGTATCATAGCAAAGGCTCTCGCCCAGACTGCCTCATCAACAAACGCCAAAAGCACGAATAGCCCCGGCAGTATCACTTCCCCGCGGAACATAGGACTATGTATAATCTACGTATCAAGCTCCCCATCTAATACGCGTCGAGCCGCATCTAGGCGCCGTCTCAGTAATCGCACCTGCTTCGGGTCCGGGTTCTCGGACGTCGTGATGTTCTGCAGGTCCAAGCAAACATTGCCCAGACTCTGGAATAGCCGCTCTAAGAGATGAGTGTCATCATCGTTCAAGCCCAGGTTCCCCTTCGCAGTGGCACTCGGGTGAGGGCTGGAAGCTGCGCGGACGGTGGACACGAGAGATGATACTAAGGATGTCGGCGTGGTAGATCCGGTGGTTGCTGAATCTGACCGTCGCGGAGGCAAGTTGGTCTCAGGATAGAGGCTAGCTTTATCCCGGCGACTGGGCTGTCTGCGAATAGCCCGGGGGGTTCCTTCACCGTCCCCACATTGGGCGCCATTGGAATCATTTACATCCGAAGGGTGGTTGTTGCGTAGCTCTAGTGACAGTTAGTTACTCACGCCTTGTGAAATGCTCTTCATGAATCCTTACCATCGTTGAACTTCCGGTCCCAATAGAGGACACTTTCAAGATCATCACGATCCCCTTCGGTAGCCGTAGCAAACGTCGCCACGGTGGATATGGAGGTAGTGCTATTTGCGCGAGAATGGCGGGTGGAACGGTGGTCGATCGGCCGCGTCGTTTCCACAGACGAGGTAGAAACATTGCTCTCGCGTCGCAAGCGAGCCTGCGTGTAGTTTCCTAGAGCGCTATGTAGGATGAAATGCTCATAGTCGAAAGCATCCTCTCGCTCCTCGTGCGGTGTATCCTCCAAGCTTTGTGGAGCCGCTGGGAAAGCCTCCAACGAATCATCAAACTCATCATCCAGGGGTTCGCGCAAGATCTCGTCCAAGGCCTGGCGATCCAATCCATCATCGGCGCCATTTATGTAATATTCACCCTCTTCTGCGTCCTCATAGAGTGTCCCTGCAACAGACTTTCCGTCATCGTCGTCCTCCCTGGACTCGTAGCTCCCATAGGTCGGCTCGGCATGCGATGCCTGGGTAGAAGGCAGTTCTCGTTTTCTTTGACTTGTCTGACGGGAGACACCAACCTCGGGCTCATATCTTGCACCTCCATAGTCACTACGGTGCTGGCTATCTTGCGTATATCCAGCAGACCGCCCATTCCCAGTATTAGCGTCATTATTGGTCCGGCGCTCTTTCACCTCCGCTGCACTGGGTGCCCATTGATCCGTTGCGGAAAGAGGGCTCGGGGTCCGCAAACTTTGCATGCTGCGTCGACGTAGGTTATCCTCCTGGGCTCTAACCTTTAAGCTAGATATCTTGATATGAAGGCCCTTCATTTGATCCTGGAGATCTCGCACCTGCAGTTGCGACTGGGATCGAGAGGGAGGTTCATAAGTTGGTTGGACCGAATTGGGTCCGTTCATGGTCTCAGAAGACTCATCCTCGAATACTTCCTCGGAAATTCCCAATCCTTTCGGTGAATCAGAGGCGGCTCGCGGATTCGAGACCGGGGGCGAAGAACGGATTTGTGGCCTCTGCATCGATGACACGGACGCACGATGGGTGAGATACGCACGCGTTGGATCATAGCGGAAGCTTCGCTCGTCATGATGAAGGTTGGGGGCCGTGGTTGAGCCGAGAGCGCTCACCGACCGGGAGAGATTGCGCTCAACGGCAGGCAGACTCGATTGCGCCGCAGAAGGTAAGTTGGTTTCGCTGTGAACACGGGAATGACCGTTGTTATTAATTGCGTCTTGGGATGATGTATAGGTTGCGCGTGGTCGATTAGCTGAGCCTCTGCGGTCGGCACGGGAGATGGATTGGTACAATCCACCAACTGGCTGACCCAGTCCCAGGGGTTGGTGACCCACGGATGGCGTTGGTGATGCCGACAGCGACGGGGACGCGCGCATTGACGTACGGGCTCGGCTTAGATTGCCCTCCATGAGCTGCATACCAGTGCGACAGTTAGTCACTGATCGGGATTTCATAAGCGGACCTGAAACACATGGCCAACATACCGTGAGGCGCTTCTTCGCATTCTCCAGAATTCTCTCCGCCTCGGTGCTCAAAACAGCCGACGAGAGCTCCACCCCAGATCCGCCTTTCTCCGTGGTCGCCATTAGACTCGGAGTCGAACCATTTCCTTCCAGACTGTCAACCGCAGAGCGTACACCTTCAGGGACTTGGTGAGGATTTTGCACCGTACCGCGACTCCCCTGGCGGTCCTTAGCGGCGTCCTGCGACGAGTCGCTAGCACCACTAATTGTCGAGCTAGACGAGCTGCTCCACGCCGCCATTTCCCTAGCCTCCGCCTCAGCCGTCTCGCGTTGCGAGACAGGCGAACCCGCCATCCGACCCGCCTGGGACAGAAATGGAAGGGTCCTCATGTGCGCCGGCGACGACGAGACACTATCCTCCTCCCCGATGTCCGACAATCGACGACTAGAATCCTGAACTTCAGTTGGCCACATGCGACGCGAGAAACCTATTTTCTGAGGCCGGCTGCCATATGAGAGAGCAATACCGGCGGAGCCAACGCCTCGACCCTGGTCGTCGACATCATCGGGCGCCGTGCGGTTCTCGTAAAAGGACTGGAGGTTGGACAAAGAGGGGAGGTTGAATGGCGGGGACGGGGTGGAGGACTCGCGCTCATTGTGGTCGAACGGTAAGATCATATCGGGATTCGAGAGGGTTGGCGATGGGGGGATCGGAGGTGGTGGTGGACGAGGAGAGTGTCCAGCATCCTCGGCGGACAGCATGCTTATACCGTGCTGTGTAGCTGTTGAGGCCGGTGTATGTATCTAATGACGAAAGAAATCAAAGTATATCCCAGCACACGACAGGAATCGGCGCTCAGACCCAGGCCATCTGCAACCAGGGGAGGGGATGAAGGCTCGTCTGGTTCAGCTGGAGAGGTCTGGGCCTGCAGGTAGGACCAGGATTGAAGGGATGAAGGTCAGTGTGGTAATATCTGCAAGAGGGGATCTGCTGCTGGAGATGCAGAGATGCAATCGCAAAGTCAATCTGAGACAGGTTGGGCACTACCCTGGTCGAATCAGCGAATGTGGAGGGCGGTGGCAGCGAAGTCAGCGTGGACTTCGATTAGAAATTAGGGAAATAAAAACAAATTAGAATTAAGCATTAACTATTAAAAGCATCGAAGACGGGAAGAAGCAAAAAAGAAATAGAAGGAAAAGGAAACCGAAAGGAGGGAATAAGATTTGGGAAAGAGAGAGAGAAGGCAGCAAGGACGCGAACAGGAAAGGAAAGAAGAGGAGTCAAATTGCCAGTTCCACGAATGCAACCAGTTCAGTTCAATTCGATTCAGTTCAGTTCAGTCCAACACCAAAAGAAAGTGTTCGGGGAGGGGGGAACCAATTCCAATCTGGGTTTGGGGAAATTTCCACTGCCATAATTATTCTTGTCCCTGCTTTTTTTTTTCTCACCCGTTCCCTTTTTGCCTTCTTTTTTTTTTTTCTTTCGTCTCTTTCTCTACCAATCTCAATTAGGCAGGGATCTGAGCTCGTCGCTGGAGATCCTCAATCAACGGTTGAGGACGATAAGAATCCTCAGGAGACAAGTGGGTTACTGGTTCATGGGAGAGAGAGATGGAGCAACTAAACACCTACTGGAGAGGTGGAGTGAGACCGAACCAAAGAACCGAACAGACAGGGGATGTACAGTAACTAGCTACTACAGTAGTAGTAGTAGTATCATCTAAGCCATGGTACATTGTTCCCTCTCGGTTACCCACAGACAGCTACTTGAAGTGCATGCATTTCATTTAACTAAACCTTGAGGGACTTCCAGGATATCAATTGATCATTCATTTCCACCCCTCTCATCATTACTATCACTGCATCATCAACAAGCCCAGTTCCAGCCCGGTTCCTGAACCACCAACCAATCCCGGAGATCGTCATTTAACGATCGGTCCGGCCTAAATTCAGCTGCACCATGGAACCAACCTCATTCGGCCATACTAATTTAAGTTACTATGACTACAGACTAACTCCGTACAGAGCTGAGATCTTCTCCCCCCTGAGATTATGAAACACCATCCCCTCCGGAAGGCTACCTGCTGAGATGCATCAGGAGTAGATGCCTGGGGAGGATGCTGTGCAGCTTCGGCTTCTTGGGGAGTGGCGTCTTCAACGCGGGACGTGCGGTTTCAGAATCTTGGGGCCATGGGGGCTGTAACATCCGTTTTGGGGGGGTCTTTTCTGCGCTCGCTGCTACCCTACCTTTACACTATCTATCCTATGGTTAACTATGGGGAAGTGTATGTACGACAATACAATACTTTGCTACGTCTTGGAATCATGCTAAATAAATAATGAATATCAAAATGCTTTTTTCTGACTCGTTTTGGTCCCATGTCTATCACAGACCCTGTACAGATGGAGATATCACCTATAAAGAAAAAGGAATCAATATAATAAGAATCCAACGAACACCTCGATGAGCAAATGAAATGCGTTTGTAAAAGAAAAATCCCGGCCAATATTACAATGTTCCCCTGCTAAGGGACCGAAACGGAAAGACTCTACCGGATCTTCTCCAGCAGCAGCTTCGCACCACTGCTGACCGGGCTGCCCTTCTTTCCATCCTTGCTGGTCTCCGACGACGCCTTCTCCAGCGCCTTCTTGTTCTTCTTCAGCGTCTTCAACAACTCGGCCTTCTTCTCGAAGTCGTCCGACTCCGCAAGAGCCACCACGACGAACACATTGGATCCCGTGGCCCACGACATGGTCTCTTCCTGGATCTGCTCGTAAAGAAGACCGTGGAAGTTGAGAGGAGGCTGCACCTTCTCGACCTTCTTCTCGGCGGGGTTGAACCGTCCACCCTGAACCAGCGACTTGAGCAACCGGCCCACGAACGGAGAGTCCTTGGTGTCGGCTCTGGATTTGGCGGCCTCAGCCACAGCGGCCAATGCGGCGCTCTTGTCTCCATCGGCTTCGAACAGCACCTCGGAGATGAATTGGCATCCGAAGCTCGTCTCGAGGAGAGAGTCGGCACGTGCGGCAATGAGCTCGAGCACATTCGCCGATGCAGCCTTGACCAACTCCTGTCGACGAAGCTCGGGGTCCTTCTTGGAAGTCTCCTTGCGGATTTCACGAACCTCCTTCAGCAACTCATGGTCGCCGTCAGGCAGAAGCCACTTGACCCGGTCTCCGACAAACGGATACAGGATGGGGATACGCGCTGTCAAGTCGTTCACTTGGAAGAGCAGCTCTTCGTTCCGAGCCTCGGCATCCATTCCCTGGTTCAGGAGTTCGGGGAAGACCAACTTGGAGGTAAGCTTGGTGTCATCAATAACTTCGTACGCGGTCAACAGAACCAAATGTCCGTGGAGATCGCCGGCCATCATCTTGATAGTATCTCTGTAGAAACGGGTAAGGAGCTTGCGGTCCTTGGCGTTGGAGTACGCCAGACTCAACGACATCACCCGAGCACCGGACTTGGTGAAAGCCAAGTTCTTGACCAGATCTCCCTCTTCATCGCCCTTCAGCAGCTCAACAAACTCGTTAGCCTCGGAGCTGCCCGGCTTAGTGTTAAGGTAGTACTGCAGCATGGCGTCGTGCAGAATGGTGAAACCAGAGTTGCGCTTCTGCACCAGCTGGTTGACAAGCTCCCAGAGGTAGTGCATAATGGGGCCCCTCTTCTCCGGGTGCGCCTCGAGGATCTTAGAGAGGTCCGCATCGGGCGGGCCGTTCTTGTCATCCCTGAAGATGACGAATTCCGGACCGTACCACTCACGCAGGAGGTTCGCCTTCTGTTCCTTCGTCGCAACGGTGCGGTAGATATCATCGAGAATCCAGGACCCCTCGGGGTGTCTGATGAGTCTCTTGACATGTCCGTAGAACTCAGGCACGATCAAATCACGAACCTCAGCATCACCGTGAACAATCAACTTTCCGACCAGGAACTTGGCATACCGGCTCTGCGCAAGCTCGTTGTAGCTACCCTTCAATTCCGTGGCGATCATCTTCCGTTGCTCCATGTTGGCGTATTTGAGGGCCGTCTGGATGACACGGACCGAGTCATGCTTGAAGACAAAGTCCTTCACACGTCCAGTAATGATTTCAAAAAGCTCCTTGATGAGCTTCTTCCGCTCCTCGAGCGGAACATGAGACTTGCGACGCAGCTGCTCCCACAGCTTCTTCGAGCGACCGATCATATCAGCGTTGGGTCTGGCGGCCTTGCGCTCTTGCAGGAGGGCCTTTTGCTTCGCATGCGATTCGCGCGACGTAGACTTATCTAAATGAAAAAAGCAACACATTAGCACCAGACCTTTTCACCAGAGAGATATTTCAATCAATCAAGCATACTTTGCTGAGCATCCGCATCCGCAGACTTGGACTTCTTCCCAGTATCTTCTTCCTCCTCCACATCTTCCATATCAACATCCTCCTCCTCGTCATCCTCATCATCCAAAGCATCAATCTCCGAATCATCAACATCATCCAGATCGAAATCATCCTCATCATCCTCATCATCATCATCATCATCATCCTCAGACTCAGACTCCTCCCTCTGCGCCTTCTTCTTACTAGAAGTCTTCTTATCCTTCTTTCCACCCTTATCGCCCTTCTTCGACACCACAGACTTGGAAGCCTTCACGGGAGCCGCAGACGACTTGCTCTTCTTCGCGGGCACGGGCACCTGCTTCTTGGTCCGTTTTCCATTGCGCTCGTCACCGGCGTCTACTCGACGCTTTACCCCGACCATGGTGAATATGTCTGGAAATCGAACAAAAAAAAGTGGCTATACCCTTGAGAAGAAAAACTGAAAACTTCTCTGGCGGGGATATCAGATAGAAAATATAAAATGGTACGCCGCCTGCGGGTTAGCTTGCTCAATTTGTCCCGGAGAATGGACTTTTTTTTCCCTAAACCGTTTTTTGCTTTTTTCGGGGGACAGGGCGGTCGAGATTTGGTTGGGTTTGTTTTGTTTGCATTTGCTGATAAGAAGGGTGTCCGTGTCTAACTTATCTATCTAATGGGGCTCCCGCGGATGGAATTGGATTATTGTGAATTAAATAAATTGGTTTTAGTGGTTTCTAGTCATGTTTATGGATGCAGATAAAAAGATAGATTTCGCACGCAGGAATCTCTATCGATGAATCTAAAGAAACATCAAAAAGTCACCGATGCAAAGCCCCGACAGCGCGCAATGCGATTAAATTTAAGCCAAAACCCACACAGATTATGAATCAGACAAGCAACAAGCACAACTGTCGAGGGTGATTGAACAGAGCAAAAGAGAAAAAAAAATGACACTTCAATGGTAATCCCCATCCAGACGCCTACAGATTATGAATTACCCAGTATATAGTTACACACCCCCTGCGTTCGTATCACGCATCATGCACCTCCGATTCCGCATTAACCGGCGGTGCTTTGAAAGTACCTAGCTCTGAGCCTGGATTGCTTGGGCCTCTTTTACGGCCCGGGATGTGAAATCCAAGAGTCGAAGATTTAGAGGTACTAGAGTTCTGGGCGGAGTCGTTTGTAAAGTCACCGAACCGAGAGAAGATGCTCTTCCGCTTTGGTTTGACCTCCTCGTCGTCGAGCGCAACCTCTTCGTATTGCTCTTCTTCCATGGCTTCCGGTTGCTTGCTTAAATTCGAGTAAAGCGTAGATGGTGTTGATGTTATATGGGAGACTCGAGAGTCGAGCGATGTTCGAGATGGCATCGCATCGGTATAGCATACGGGTGATCGGGCGGAGATATCCTGGAGGCGCAGTGTAAGTCACTCTTGCGACGAGAAAGTGAGATCAAGTACGGATGGGTCATTACAAATGATCGGCGATACGAATCGAATGATTCGCGAGATATCGAGAAGGGTTCGTTCTCATTTACGAGATCGCGATGGTGCGAGGATCTCGGGGAACCAGGGTACTTGCGCCAGAAGCCCTGTTTCTCTGGAGGTGAGGGCTATTGACATGTGAGTTACTTGTTCCGCATGCGAATAAGACCCGCCATGTGATTGTAACGGTAGTGGTTCACATACGGGATGGTAGATTCCATTGGCGTCGACGACTGGCGGGAAGAGGATAGAGTTAGCGGGGTAAATTAAGGATCCATTGAAAGGGTCCCAGGTGGCATACCACTGAGTTTATATTCAGGTGGTTCGTTTTCCGAACTCTTCCTGAAGTTCAAAGGACTCGAGCCATGAGTATCGAGTGAGGCATGGCTAGCAGAGTTATCGGTGGGAGCGGCACTGACTTCCCCGCCATTGGGGGCAGTGGACTTTCTGGACAAGAAGTTGCGGAACGGCGCCATGGTGAAATGATAATAAGGAAGGGAAGCAGTCGCGCAGACGCAAAGAGACGGAGGGTCCCTGACAGGAGAATAAATATGCTGAGGTGGTCAAGCAACAATGGCGAGACCTGAACCGGGCGAGTTGCTTGCCAGGATGTACAACGCTCAAACCTCACATGATCGGCGGTCTCGGGCATCGGTTCAATTTATGAAAGGGTGGTTCATCCGCTGGCGGTGCAATCACAATCTGCTGGACGGGGTCGTTCCGACTTTTGCGAGGGGTAAAAGAAAAAAAAATTGGAAGAAGAATAAAAAAAAAAAAATGCTAATGGCTCTCAACACAGTTGATTTGCCACTGAGTTGTGTGCAACGAACCTATCCAGACTAGCCAGGCATTTTGATCTCTCACTAGTCAAAAACAAGGCCGGGGAACTTGGGCATATCATCATCGCCTTTATCCCAGGCATTGTAGTTCCATACTAGTGTCCGAGATAGCGTCATTGTGCCCCATTCATGTTTCTTTTTTATGAGGGGGTTTATTCATCACCTGACTAAGCATCCCCTTGTCTTGGTAACGTCAACAATCCCATCGTATACGTAGTCTACTTGGTGCTATTACTACATGACTACAACTCTACTTTGACTATCAATAGTTACTTACCTTGTCCCTCAATTCCCCACAGTTCTTCTGAACTCTGTAGTGGCTACTAATCTGCCATGATTGTTTTTCGTTGCTTTGATTTCCCCCTTGCCGCATGCTAATCTGCACGACCATGACCTGCAAGAAAATACCACTGGGAAAGCTCACGTTCATTCATATCAAGCAAGGCGACATAGCTCGCTGTAGATCATACTTACTTGCAGTGGCGTCGTCACTTTCATAAGTCAGAAGTTGTGGCTTGCAGAACCCCATCCTCATACATGCCAATCTATCCGATACGATATCCCATTGGCTGTGTTCCCAAGCCAGGGGGCACATGCAACCTCTGCCGACTGTGCTTCATTGAAGTCTATCTAGATGCCTCTGGCTAGCTAGGTTGATGCAGACTTTTATAGGTGCTAGCAGCATACTCTGTGCAATGCGCTCTGTAGGTGTTGATCTCTTTTCGGCTAGCAGACTATAGACGTCCGAGTCGATTGTGCTCTAGCCCGAAGACGATTGGCCCATCTTGTTGGATCTTCATTACTATTACATTTGACACATACACAGCATATACATATCCCAGTTGCAGCTATGTTCACGCCTTTCGTATCTGATTAAATATTGGGAAGAGCCTCCCAATGTTGTGCTCCTGAAGGCTGCCGACCTAGTAGCATGCGGTCAACACACACCTTTGGAGGGTACCTGCCCGTGAAGCTCTTGCCAAACATGACTGAGACGGTGGGGTGCCTTCCATATCTACTGGGTATCTATATTGTATTATCACTCATCCTATCGTCTTCTTGAGACATCCCACATTGATTCCTCTGGCACATTCCCCTGGTGATCTAGATATCACCATAACTTGAAAAGGTATAGGTCAGGCTCTCCACGCTTTGCTACGGGCAGATAATCGACTCCCGTCTGAGATGGCGACACAATCAATTCGAGGTCTAGGTGTATGATCTAACATCCTGTGTCCTCAGCCTACTTTATCAACTATCACCATGCCTAAACTTTCAGCGCTGATTTTATCGATACTATCGATTTTCATCTTGGCCGGAGTAGTCTCTTCCACTGTCCTCCCCCGAAATATCAGACGCGAAGTTACCGCACCCTACTGTGAAGATAGAACCGGCCGCCTGATTACTACTCTGCGCCGTGACGTTCATGGCGACTACAATGCCGATGTCGAAGCTATCAGCGATTCCACTCCGGAAAGAATAGCCGCCCCTCTCTGCAGCGACAATTCTCAATGCAACCTTGGCCAAATCTGCAATCAAGGTTTCTGTGTCGCAGGTTGTAAGTCCAATGTGGACTGTTCTCGCTTTCACACCTGTTCCAATGGGTCGTGCACAGATAGCCGTGGCAGCAGATGCGCCCCAAATAGGAGCAGATGTTCTCTCAGCGCCGAGTGCTGCTCGGGTCGATGCAAGCGCTGGGGCGGTCTCCTGGGAAGAAGAAGGTGCAGGGGCTTTAGAGATGTGTGAGGTTGTTGGCCTAGCTGCTTCTATTGGAGTCTTGTGTGTGCGGGTTGGTGGCTTGAGGGAATCGCAGCATCGTCTACCTATTGTGGCGCTGAATGTGTGTTGCTTCTTTCGAGCACAGGGCTAATTCCTACCGTCTCACCTATTGCACGAACCATGTATCAATATCAGAGCGGAGGGGAATGAAAGAAAGCATCTTTAGACGCCATGGTGATTGTATTAGTAGTTTTTGTTGATTGTAATAGGCCAGTTACGGTTAGACGTAGGGGACACATTTAACCTTACTAGTGTGTATCCGTGTTGTCAAAACCTCACACCGGCTAGAGGAGTGGGTAATGTAATGACATATTCACTAAATCGAATTATATCTAATATAAAAATCTGCATTTCCCCCATATAATGAGCGAGAATCGAATGAATACAAGTTGCAGTAAGTAGTATATAATGAATGTACAATAATAATATTTAATATCTGTCACGGATAGTCCGGTGGGAGGTCAGCCGCCAAGTCAATAACCTTGCTTAGGTAATTGCCAGCGGGACTGGTGCCTGGTACGAATCCCGGGGTCGTCATTGTACTCGTGCGAGTAATCCACGATGCTATGAGGCGCTAAGCAATGGAAGTGACCCTTGAGGGAAGCAATTCTGCAGAGACATTTCCACCCCGGGATGGCGTCGCCAGATTACACCGTCCCGTTACAGGGAAATTGGCACTTTGGCTGGGCAACTACTATTCTCTTCTTTTTGCTGTTTTACTTTTTGCTCATTTATATGAGCAATCGTTCCTCCTCGTTTCTTTGCTAATAATTTTGTTGCTCTGCTTGCTATCCTTTTGATTATTTTCTATTTTTTCTGAATGTTCAAATGTAGATGGTTGCTCATGATGTTCAACTACTTGTTGTGTTGGGCTTCGGTTCCGCTGCAGTATATATTCAGTAGTATGGTCATCCCAGTCCAGTCTACCCTGCTGGCCACCCTCTGGGCATACTATGGCATAATTGAAACTGTTTCACTTCAGGTGTACATAGAATATGCGGCACGTTGTTTCTCGTGAATATCTGGAGCCCATTGATGAAAGAATACAAGGTGTAGGCAAGTAGTACACTATTGAATCTAGCTGGCATCATTGTTACTATGTCGCATTCACCTCGCCCATGAACCTTCTTTCCCCCATTGCAGCATAACTGCACCTTCCTCGACTACCAAACTTAACGAAGGACCAGTTATCTGCTATTCTACCTGGTAGTTTGCATCTCTCACCCTCCAAGTTTTGAGCATCATACATCGTTCAGTATACCCTCCGGGCTTACCAACTAAAGCAGCAACGCCGATTTTGACATATATCTCAGAAGTGCCAGAGACAATTAGAGTCCACGCCAGCGCAGTCACCTGGGAGAGGCCTTCCTGTGTCTAGTTTAGACTACCGCTTTCCTGCATCTACAGCGGCTGCATCCCCCATCAAAAGACTTCTCATTCACCGAACGATCATGAATTTCTGGGTTGGTTGGGCGCTCTGGCAGAAACTGAGCTTTGTAAGATCCCCAAGGCCTTGGGAACGAGGAATGTCGCTAACCTGCGACCAGGCGCTCGCAGGTCTTCTGGTAAGGATCCAGTACTGGATTGGCATACATTCCACTGACACGTCAAGGCACTGGTACTGGTGTACTCATTCATCGTCCTAGCCTACAACAGGCGAAAGACACAGAAGTATGCCACCGCCGAAGCACGACAGAAAGCAGAGATGCAACCCATGCTGGCCGAACCAAGCGAGATACCGTTTGGTGCTAGAGCTTTGGAGAAGGGAATTCAAGTAGAAGGCATATGGACACCCGATTGCCGTTCTGCGAGACAGTCCACCACTCACTCGGGTAGTAGACCTGAAAGTATTGCGTCGGCACCCAAGCCGACGTTGATGGCGCTGACAGGAGATGATATCCAAGGTCTTGAGCGGACATACCAACCGGCACCTAGCCCGAGCCTCTATGACCAGTGCAACTCCCCCAAGGTTCTAGACATTGAATACGGACAGTCAGAGTACATCTCTCTCTCGCCAACCAACCAGTCTCTACAGCTGGATGGCCCCATTAGTATTGAACCGGAATGCTCTCCAGATCTAGACAAGCGTCGCTCAAGGTGGTTTGGCGCGCGAAGCTCGTGGGTCAAGAAGCCCTTCGATAGCTACAAAAGAAGATCAACACCAGAGGGTAAGATCCTGAAGTATATTGGCTTGAACTCGAAATGCTAAGCATACACAGGGCTTCGCCGCACTTCATCGGAGAGCTTCAGAAGGAGAATCAGCAAACTCATAGACGAGAATATCCGGACAAACCCAGCTGAAATATGTCAACTAAGAGCCATTAACCAGGAGACGCTCGAAGGCCGTAGAACGCCCTCACCGGCGAGGTCGCAAGGCTTTTCAAATGCCGTGTTATGAGGTGCGAGACTAGGTTGTTTTGCCAGTCTCCCAGGCAGCCTCTGCCGTTGACCATGTAACATGCAATGGCAACAATACTATCGAGGGGCCTATGAACGAATCGTTGGATATCATTTAGTCATTGATAAGCCTCGGTTACTATGACGAATCATGTTGCGAAACAAATGCACGACCGGAAGCGCGCAGGACATGCAACGGAAACAAAATGTATCTCTTTTCCTTTCGTTTGTGATACAGAGCAAGTATGTGCTTCATATGCAATAAGACAGGTTTGGCCTGGCAGTTACTGTATTAACGTAGATATAAAGTGGACTAATAGCTGTAGGTAAATGGCCCACCCAAGGCAACAAGCTGATGCCAGTGGGCACGTGATGTCGCGACTGCCTGGACGCGTCCACAATCCCAACATGACTTGAATAACGCGCTGCGACAACGGCAATTTGCCACCATAGAATAAAAGAACCACGGGTTTCTGGACAGTTTTGCCTTATTGCACACGGAAGCTGGATTGTGTGTTGCAATCCATCCAGTGTTGAAATCTGAACTACATCAGGAAACCGCAACTGATCTAGACGCGTGTGTGCGCGGTTAACAAGCTACATCTATTGCCATTTCTCCGAAGATTTTTGCAGTATTGCTACAAAGGCCACTGGATCCTGACGCTACAGAAGTTTGAATTCTTTGTGAAAGATGACTGCCGACGCTGATACTCAGAATGAGTATGACGATGGGCTTCCAGGCCCCGGAGCGCCTACGCCACTCTCTTCCCTGGAGGTGAGCCATTCAAACGGCAAAATAATATATTTGGCGATGTGTGGGTGAAGTTCAAGTGCTGATGCTTTTAGTAACAGGGTGTTTCGGGCCTGACAAGTAGGGATATCAAGCTGTTTGTTGATGCTGGATACAACACTGTTGAGTCGGTTGCATATACGTACGTCTTTCCTCTGCCAGTCTGGTTATGTGCCATTGCCCAATTCCAGTCCTGCTCACAAGCACATTTATTGAACCTTGTATAGGCCAAAACGTTTGTTGGAACAAATCAAGGGTATTTCGGAACAGAAGGCCACCAAGGTCCTGGTTGAGGGTGAGTGTTACTCTTGTGGCATTGGAACTTGTGGCGAATATCTGGTCTGACTCCATAACTTTGTAGCTATGAAGCTTGTGCCGATGGGCTTTACTACCGCGACCGAAATGCATGCGCGACGAAACGAACTCATCTCAATTACGACAGGCTCTAAGCAGTTAGACACCCTTCTTGGAGGTGGCATCGAGACAGGCTCTATCACGGAGATATTCGGAGAGTTCAGGACAGGAAAAAGTCAAATATGTCATACACTCGCCGTGACTTGCCAATTGCCTTTTGACATGGGCGGAGGAGAAGGAAAATGTCTGTACATTGACACAGAAGGTACCTTCCGACCAGTGCGTCTATTGGCGGTTGCACAGCGATACGGGCTGGTGGGAGAAGAGGTGCTGGATAATGTGGCATACGCTCGTGCCTACAACTCAGACCATCAACTTCAGCTACTCAACCAAGCTTCGCAGATGATGTGCGAGACTCGTTTCTCGCTCCTTGTCGTTGATTCTGCCACTTCTTTGTACCGGACAGACTTCAACGGTCGTGGTGAACTGTCGTCGAGACAAACACATCTTGCGAAGTTTATGCGTACCCTGCAGCGCCTCGCTGACGAGTTTGGTATCGCGGTCGTCATTACGAACCAGGTCGTTGCCCAGGTGGATGGTGGCCCTAGTGCAATGTTCAATCCCGACCCGAAGAAGCCAATCGGTGGTAACATTATTGCGCATGCAAGTACGACGCGGTTAAGTTTGAAGAAAGGACGGGGTGAGACTCGGGTCTGCAAGATCTATGATAGCCCATGTCTCCCTGAGAGCGATTGCCTGTTCGCTATCAATGAGGATGGTATTGGGGACCCGAGCCCCAAGGACTTGGAGAATGACTGAAAAGGGCGCGGATAGATTCTCAGGCTACGAGTTCATGATTATAGTTGTTTTGCTTGCATGTATAGGCTGCGTACATAATAATAGCCTCGGGAATCCCCGATATTTGACTAGTATATCATTTCTTGTAGGAAGAGTCAATTCGCATTATCCATCGAATCGATTGGTGTAGTTGCGGAGATGCAGCAAGGCGGTGGCAGCTTTATTGCTGGGGGCGGCGCCAAGACCTGTTTTTTCTGGAGCGCCGAAAGAGCTTCAGCTTCTGCCCTTCAACTCCGCCGTGCAGCGACTCCTCCCTCCAATTACCTCCATCGGCCATGGAGACTTGAACTGACCATTAACTCCAGATCGTGAAGTGTGGTCTGTTCCTTAGTCAAGTCATGGCTAAAATCTACAAAGATACCCGAGTCGACCTCCGGCCGTACTCGCCGAACACCGTCGTCAACATCCCGATCTCGACCCAAGAAAGTACGCAAAGCCGCGCGCGATTCTCGGTGATCTCGAGCCCCAACCGTGACGAGCCGGTCGCGAAGGACGAAGACGAGTTTTCCAAACGATACCTAGCGAGTCAGGGTTCCATCTATTTCCGCAAACGCAATGTCTACCCCCGAACCTATCTGTGGAGGGTTGTCGATAACAGCAAGATCTTGGAGATCCAGTGCGTGGATCTGACCAAGGCTGGTATCGAGCACCACGAATACAATGTAACACTGCGCTTGGAATTTGAGGAAGGCATTGTCCCTTCAGGTGTTGATTTTGCCGATCTGGAGGAGCACGAAGCGTTGAGCGTGTTCGTGATCACCACCTCCAAGAGTCTCCACACCTTGACACTACGCCCTGAGTTCTTCCGTAGGACTGCATCAATTGACAACAACATCTCCGACTGGTGCAAGACTTTCAATCCCGCACCTCTCACATTTTCTTACCCACACCGTCTACACGCGAGCAGCCCGTTGGAGCTGTTCGTGTCTCTCGACAATGGCGCGCTTTTGCGCTTGACCAGGAAGTCTGGTGACGATGGTAATCCCACAATCTTTGCTTTAACCACCAGTTGTCATATATATGCGATACTGACCTATCTTGATGTGTTCCAGGCTCACACTGGTCTCCCCTGACCTTCGACGAAAGAACTTGGGGCTCGTCGATTCGCGGGCTGGTCAAATGGCATGCGCAGCCGTCGATCAAATACCAAGGACGCACCCTCGAATTGAGCGCGCCAAATGCTATCGCTACCACAACTGATCAGACCTATGTATTCGCTGTCTGCTTGAACCACACGCTCAAGATCTGGAACCTTGCTACCAACAAGTTGGCCGCTACGAAGGACCTACTGGACCGTGATGTGCAACCGTCGGAGGAATCTTTGTACTCGCTGAATCCATCCGAAACTTCCTTTATCAGGGTCTTTAACATGGAGCGTGCGCTTGACGGTGCGTACCGTTATTATGTTGTCACCTACTCGCCGTTCGAAGACGGACTCTTCAAGTTCTGGGCTGTCAAGGGAGGCCTGACGTCGCCGCTTGTTATCGAGGACCTGTACCCGGGTGCTGCACTGAAGCCTCTGGATCCCGACTCGACCGGGAGCATGTTCTGGAGCATCGCCGATTTCCAGATCAAGCCTGCTGAGGAAGGAAAGCGCATGGAGCTGTGGGTTCTGTGGAGAAACAGCAGTCTATACCAGCTGTTTACGCTGCATTTCAACTTCGAAACCCTGGTGACGGATTGGAAGTCCAACTGGGCGTCTACAGTTATGGACACCCGCGGTCAGGCATATCCCCCCGTTATGGCCTTGTCTGATGTGGTGGATCCGACGGAGAAGTGGCTCGAATTCCTCCTGCAGCCCAACAAATACTCGACGGAGGTCCTTGAGACTGCCCTCTCTATCTACCAGGAGGCACTCAGACCTCTGTCGTCGCCCAGCACGCTGAAGAGAAGCGCCCCTCTTGCAGAAAGGCTCTGCTCTACCGTTGCTGCCACTGTCTCTCTTCGCAAGTACGCCGATGATGGGATGGACTTCACGCGGTACCGAACCGATACAGACTCGAAGTGGCGCCAATTCTGGCAGATTGCGGATGATGTCAACAAGAGAAGGTTTGAGCCAGTCTCTCTTGCATATGATACCTACTATGAGACACCGTGGATGGTCCTTTCCGACAGCTGTGCCGTGATTCGTGAATGCAGCGCAACCGAGCTTATTCTACATAACTCCGGCCCAGAGCTTCGCGCGGAAGCACCTAAAATCGTTGATCGCTGGAGGCACCGGAACCTGGATTCAGAGATCGGCAGCCTCTTTGAGGATGCCTCTCACCTTATGAACGTTGCCTCCAGCTTCCGGAGGAGCTTCGCTCCCGAACTCGAAGTGGCATGCCAGGGCGCCCTTGAAGCAGAGCTGTTCACTGAACCCTCCATCTCTGTGCAGGATAGAATGGAGGCGTTCCGCGAGCGATGTGATTTTGGAGAGCAAATCTCCAACAAGACATACGATGGTCTGGTTGGTGCCGTTAATGAGCGTCTGAACATCTTCAGCTTGCCAAATGAAGTGTTCTACACCCTCGTGGACACGATTCCGCTGGGCTTCCCTGGCAAGGACTCTGATCTCGTCAACACTCATTTCGGTGTCAAGGTCATCGTCAACGGTGTCCAGGAGACGATCTCCTTTACGCGAAAGACTCTGACAGACCTCTTGTACATGATCCTTTTCATCGATGGTGAAGTTCAGCAGGAGGAAGACTCGACGTTCGACGCCGCAGACTTGTTTGTCACTATCATAACCCTCCTGAGGGAATACGAGATGATGTCTTGGTTGAGCTCGAATTCCCGCAAGTGCTCCGACAGACCGGCGAAGACCACTGATGACATGTCCGTCACCTCGTTCTCTGTCAAGGAAGCGCCTGCAAATAAGGGTGGTGAGAGGATAGCGACCATCCTTGAGGATCTGTTCGCCGGCGATATCAAGCCACGTCAAGCTGTCGGCCTGCCCCAGAGCTACACGATATCTCTTGGTATCAGTGATATCCTCTCCTGGGTGACTCGTCAAGGCGAGGTCGCCTACCCCAATGCTCTTGTCTACATACAATGCGACCTCATCGCTAAGAACAATATCGACCTTGCATGGGACTTCCTCCGCTTCCAAGCAAGCACATCCTGGGCCACCTATGTCAAGGGTCGGCTGTACGTGGCCATGTCCGAATACGATACTGCGGCTTTGTATTTCCGCAAAGCTGCCTATCTTCTTTGTAAGTCCTCGTCTCACAACACGTTGTGATCCTCTGTCTGACCTTGCACAGCATGCGGAAAACCCCTGGGTAACCTGCACGAGATGTCCTCG